GATAGAGTAGTAGATAGACAGATTGGGGTAGAGAGTTCCATATTTCATAGGATGGGAGAGGCTCGGAAGGAGTCCTGGAGGCGAGCGTGGGAAGAGGAGACAAGGGAGCTACAGAGCGCGAGGTCTTGGAAGGAATGAAGAGAACGATTTGGATGGTATTTAGAAACTAGGTTAGTGACATAGCTGGTAGGAGAGTTGTGGATGGCTTTATGGTATTGTTAGTATTTTGAATTTAATTTGTTGGGTGATCAGAAGCTAGCAGAGGGATTGGCTGAGAGGAGTAGCAGACACAGAACGGTTGGTAAGGTGGGTGAGTCTGGCAGCAGTATTTATGATACAGTAGGGCAAAAAAGTATTTAGTCAGCCACCAATTGTGCAAGTTCTCCCACTTCAAAAGATGATAGAGGCCTGTAATTGGCATCATAGGTAGACCTCAACTCTGAGAGACAAAATGAGAAAAAAAATCCAGACAATCACATTGGCTGATTTGGAAAGAATTTATTTGCAAATTATGGAGGAAAATAAGTATTTGGTCACCTACAAACAAGCAAGATTTCTGGCTCTCACAGACCTGTACCTTCTTCTTTAAGAGGCTTCTCTGTCCTGCACTCATTACCTGTATCAATGGTACCTGTTTGAACTTGTTATCAGTATAAAAGACACCTGTCCACAACCTCAAACAGTCACACTCCAAACTCCACTATGGTGAAGACCAAAGAGCTGTCGAAGGACACCAGAAACAAAATTGTAGACCTGCACCAGGCTGGGAAGACTGAATCTGCAATAGGCAAGCAGCTTGGTGTGAAATCAACTGTGGGAGCAATAATTAGAAAATGAAGACATACAAGACCACTGATAATCTCCCTCGATCTGGGGCTCCACGCAAGATCTCACCTCGTGGGGTCAAAATGATCACAAGGACCTAGTGAATGACCTGCAGAGAGCTGGGACCAACATAACAAAGGCTACCATCAGTAACACACTACGCCGCCAGGGACTCAGATCCTGCAGTGCCAGACGTGTCCCCCTGCTTAAGCCAGTACATGTCCGGACCCGTCTGAAGTTTGCTAGAGAGCATTTGGATGATCCAGAAGAGGACTGGGAGAATGTCATATGGTCAGATGAAACCAAAATAGAACTATTTGGTAGAAACACAACTCCTCGTGTTTGGAGGAGAGAGAATGCTGAGTTGCATCCAAAGAACACCTTACCTACTGTGAAGCATGGGGGTGGCAACATCATGCTTTGGGGCTGTTTCTCCGCAAAGGGACCAGGACGACTGATCCATGTACAGGACAGAATGAATGGGGCCATATATCGTGAGATTTTGAGTGCAAACCTCCTTCCATCAGCAAGGGCTTGAAGATGAAACGTGGCTGGGTCTTCCAACATGACAATGATCCCAAACCTACCACCCGGGCAATGAAGGAGTGGCTTCGTAAGAAGCATTTCAAGGTCCTGGAGTGGCCTAGCCAGTCTCCAGATCTCAACCCCATAGAAAACCTTTGGAGGGAGTTGAAAGTCCGTGTTGCCCAGCGTCAGCCCCAAAACATCACTGCTCTAGAGGAGATCTGCATGGAGGAATGGGCCAACATACCAGCAACAGTGTGTGCCAACCTTGTGAAGACTTACAGGAAACGTTTGACCTCTGTCATTGCCAACAAAGGATTTATAACAAAGTATTGAGATGAACTTTTGTTATTGACCAAATACTAATTTTCCACCATAATTTGCAAATAAATTCTTTCCAAATCAGCCAATGTGATTGTCTGGATTTGTTTTCTCATTTTGTCTCTCATAGTTGAGGTCTACCTATGATGCCAATTACAGGCCTCTATCATCTTTTTAAGTGGGAGAACTTACACAATTGGTGGCTGACTAAATACTTTTTTGCCCCACTGTATACTGAAAGGGGGATGGCCTTTGTAAAGGTAAACCAATGAGGAGGGAGTTATAGTAAATAAACATAATTGTTTTTTAATTAATATATTATTTGTGTTTCATTTAGAGCATTTGTTGAGTCCTCCTGATAAAGTATGTAGATGGTGTACAATGAACCAAGCTAGAGGCATTGTGATTCCATGTAATCGGTGCCCTCATAATACTAGTTAAATCTACAGAATTGTTATCCAAAGAAGGTCTGAAGGACTTTCAGCTTATGGAACAATGTTCTATATCAGGGGATCTCAATCTTTTTGAGACCAGGTCCTGGTATATTCTTCCAAAACCTTCCATGCCTCAACCGTAAAGTATAACGTTTTTATTAACATAATCAAAGTATGGGAATGCAAAACATGTATTAAAATGCTGGAAGGCTCTGGATGGAGCTGAGTATCACTGGGCCGTGGAGTGGGCTAAGGAGACTCTGCAGTTGACCCCGTAGGTGAGGAAGTTTCTGGAGGGGTCTAAGAAGCACTGTGGGAGGTTGAGCGCCTAACAGAGGCTGGAGGTTCAGTAGCAGGCTTTGGGAGGATACTGAGGGTGATTGTGCAGCACTATGAGAGATTTGGGGGTACTGTGGGCACCTATGAGAGGATGGGGGGCACTATGGGAACTGAAAGGCACTGTGGGAAGTTAGGGTATCTGCTGCTGGTTGGAGGCCTTCTTAAAGGAAAATTGCTGCCCAGCCAAGTACAATGGAGGACCAGCAGTCGTTCAGTGAGAATACCAAGGGCTCGTTCACAAGCTCGAGTATTGAAGAGTGGAGATAAGTGCCAGATATTGGGGGAGCAAGGAATAACGTAAGTAATGTTGCTTTTTCTGTTCCCCCTTGCAGTGCAGTGAGAGCCCTACTGCAATGATCTGTCATTTTCAGCTTTGGAGTATATCTAAACCCAAAACTTTTCTTTTTTGTTTTGCATAGATTTGGGAGAAATTGATTCCTATTTTTATTGACTTCTATGGGGCTCTACTGCCCAGGCAGATAGAGAACATGCAGTGTGGGATATAAACAATCCCCAGATGCTTCGGCGGTCATATCGAGATGTGAACAAGCTGTAACAAGTTAATTCCCAGAATGGACTGTAAAAAAAAAAATGTTTACTTACCTATATCCTAGTGGCTCTTGTCACCTTCAACATAGTCCATCTGTGAAGCGACACTTGTTTCTAACAATTCCTGGAATTTGTTTCCCAAAATGCTGCACAGTATCTTTGTTTTGGCATGGTAGATATCCAGAATGTCATCAAATCTGTTTCCGATTTAGGCATTTTTAATTAACAGCCAAAAATCGCAAGGTGCATAGTCAGGGAAATAGGGTAGGTGGTCATGTTTCAGAATGGATTTCTGGGCCAGAAACTTGCGAACAAATAACGCATCACATGCAGGAGCATTGTCATGGTGGAGAATCCACTTGTCAGGCCAGAGTTCCTCTTGTCAGGCCTTTTCCTCTGAACAGATTCCCATAACCTTTTTAATTTCCACATTTAGATCCATCCTTTGCATTTTTGGATGCCCACTTCTTGCGTCATCGTGGACTTCCTGCCCCTCCTTAAACCACCTATGCCATTCAAAAACACTTGATTTCTTCATGGAATGTTCACCATAAGCCTGTTGTAACAGAGCACTTGCACTTTCATGTGCTCTTTTGACAATTTTCACACAAAATCTGATGTTAATCCGCTGTTTCAGAGTAATTCCTAGTACACACGATGAGAAAATCAGATGAAAGTTATCACTGGGCTGTGGAGTGGGCTAAGGGGACCCTGCAGTTGACTTGGTGGCCCTGTAGGTGAGGAGGTTTCTGGAGGGGTCTAAGGAGCACTGTTGGAGGTTGGAGGCCTAACAGAAGGCTGGAGGTTCAGCAGCAGGCTTCTACACATGACGAGAAAATCGGATGAAAAACACCATTTTCAAAGCGATTGTCAGATAATCTGATCGAGAGCCGATCACGACAGTTCATTTGAAATTATCTGAAGGACAAGCACAAAAATGTTTCTCAAACGATACCAGAACAAACAATTTTAAAGTGGTAGTAAATTCTTGGGAAAAAAAAAAAAAAGTTTTGCCCTGCAAGGCAAAACCATAATGTGATAGTATGCATTGCATACTATCTCATTATAAAGGACTTACCTCAACCCTCAAGTGATGCGCTGTCCCCGCTGCAGAGGCTTCCATCTTCACCCGGTCTTCCTTATTGCCTTGCGCGCTGCAGGCGTGATGACGTCTCTCCCATGCGGGAGTCTCGGCTGCTGTTCCTTCAGAGCGCATGTGCTGGTGATGTCACTGACTGCTGTTTGCTAGAATATCTAAAAGGTGCACATGTAGGAGATATTCATGTTACTTACAGGTGAGACTCTTTCTCTTACTTTGTGAAGACACCCACACATTTGTTTCCATGAACTCAGTGACATGTATTCACTATGTTACGTAGGTAGGAACCGCTGTGTAACACATTTCTCAGAACTTGCCTTCTGGCCTACAGAGGTGCTGAGAGGAGGAGTTTCAGGAGGCGGAGTCAATACAGGAATCACTGCTTGCAAGCTGCAAGGTACCATGGGGTGTGTAGTCCTAATAAATTGAGTAGAAGCTGGAAAGAATGCATGAAATCCAGAAAGTTGTGGAAAGAGTTGTGGGTTTAGTAACACTTTAAAGCTAAATTCTTCTATGGACAAAAAAATTACAGCTCCGAAAAAGTTGCTGTACAGAACTCCCCCAGAAATGTAATTTCTTGCTTGTGTGATTGGCTCACTGATGTTCCCGGAAGCCTACACTAAGATACAAGTCTGATTTTAGGCATCCTTTGCAACATGGGGAGATACTCCCAAAGGGTTAATCACTTCTAAAGGGATGCAAAACCTGCTACTTTCCTCATTAGAGCACTGTAAGTGCATTAGCTCATTAATAATGAAAAAGTCACTGTCATTCATATTCACTTTGTACATTGACATAATATAACAAACAGCTTTTTCTTTGTAGCAGAAACAGGTAGGAATCTGTAACAAAGTTTGTTAAAATCCTTGCAATGTTCATAGATCACCCAGAGGGGAGGGTTTTTTTTTCAACAAAAGTGGAGTTACTCTTTAAAGTGTTCCTAAACCCAGGACCCTGCATTCACTATATCTGGTCTCCCCGGACCCTGCATTCACTATATCTGGTCTCCCCGGACCCTGCATTCACTATATCTGGTCTCCCCAGACCCTGCATTCACTATATCTGGTCTCCCAGGACCCTGCATTCACTATATCTGGTCTCCCCAGACCCTGCATTCACTATATCTGGTCTCCCCAGACCCCGCATTCACTATATCTGGTCTCCCCAGGACCTTGCATTCACTATATCTGGTCTCCCCGGACCCTGCATTCACTATATCTGGTCTCCCAGGACCCTGCATTCACTATATCTGGTCTCCCAGGATCCTGCATTCACTATGTCTGGTCTCCCAGGACCCTGCATTCACTATATCTGGTCTCCCAGGATCCTACATTCACTATATCTGGTCTCCCCGGATCCTACATTCACTATATCTGGTCTCCCACAGTACACAGAACATGGAAGTGCAATTATTTTAGTAAATATAAACTGCTTAATACCTTCTATCATCAGCAGTTAGAGCAGTCTTGTGACTCCAGCGGAGCACTGGTTAAAGCTTGTAGGAGGAGTTTTCTTTCTGTTCTAAGAGGATGCAGAACCCCTGACCTCTGTCTGGACAGTGCTGATTGGCCCTGTGCTGATCACATGCACCCTCCCAAAAAAAAAAAAAAAACCTCTCTAGCAATACACACCAAATTGAGCGTGTGCAGAGTGATTCCACATGATATGTCTTATCAGGAGATAAGAGGAGGACATTGGAAGAAGAGGAGGATCATAGAAGACAAGATCAAACAGCCTTTTTACACAATGCAGATGATTAACCCCTTAGGTTCCACAGCAAGTATAACAAGCATGCTTTACTGCATATACAGACTGATTTTACTGTTGTGGCTTTAGTAACACTTTAAGGAGAGCTCCTGCCTTTTGCTTGCCAGGTAACAGGCTTTTCACTTTGGGCCCTCTTGGCATCAGATATTGTCTGCCCCATCCTAGGAAAAGATAAAAGTGAGTATCATGTTTTATTGTTTTATACTTTTTGGCTCTGCCTGGACAACTGGATGCTAGAAGTTGCCATACACTGTTAGATTCCTTGCGTTCAGCCTGAGGACTGAGGAAGAAGAGGATGAAGTCGACCTTTGATGTCACTTGACCAGACTGAAGTCACATGAAAAAAAGCAATTTATATTGATTTTTTTCTTTCTCTTGTAGGATGTCAGGGGTGCGCAAAGCGAGGATGGGGAGGGGGGGGGTGCTCAAAGCCAGAGTTGGGCTTTAAAGTGGAAGACCAGCACCTAAGACTACCTATTCTTAAAAATGTTCCCTCCCCCCTCCTCCTACTTATCCTGTATACCCTGTATAAAAAAGTTGTGTGTAGTCTTATCTACTTTTAACCCACTGTAGTCCAGTAAAGTGATCCTGCAGCTTCGGTTCAGAGAGTGCTGACCAACGAGAGCCAAGATATCACCCGTAGACGCCCAGCCATTGCCAGTGCTTCCTCCTCTCCCCTGCAGCCACCACTCACTAACACAGGGCAGCTGGAGCTGTGAAGTCCCGTGACCAGACCAAACCAGTCAAAACAAGAATATGAAAAGTAGACAGGTTTTGGACAGATAACTTATTTACTCATTACAGGCAAGGGCAGACTGACCATTCGAGCACTCGGGCACTGCCCGAGGGCCGGGTCAGTAGGGGGCTCCATGAAATGCCCCTGGTACCTTTTTATAGGCTTATTTGGGTGTGCTTTGAGTGTGGGCAAGACACAGGGGCCCCATGATCCCCTATTGCTTGGGGGCCCCATGAGTTGTCAGTCCGCCCCTGATTACAGGTATTTATAAATCGCATGCCAATTCGCATCCAGTGTGACTGGGGTCTTAGTGCTCTGAACTGAGACAAGAACACACTATAGAGGGATATGCTTTGTTCATATGAAATATTACCTTACTCCAAAAGCGGGAATTCTATACTGTAGAACCAGGTCTTCCTGAAGGAATCTTGTTTATTTTGGGAGAAAATTATAAGATCCCCCATATGTAGAATTTTGTCAAATTTAGGTAACCAAAGTGAAATTGTAGGTGGGTTGGTGTCTTTCCATTTTAGGGGAATGAGTGATTTGGTTGCATTCAAGAGGTGGTACAGAATAAATCTCACATACCTTTTCAATTGAGGAATGATAAAATACAAAGAAGGCTGGGTCATCTAGAAGGGTGAAATCAAATTTCTGGGAGATCGCTTGCACCTTACCCAGAAAGGTGTCAATTCTGGGAACAAGATCAGAATATATGGAGAAGTGAGCTCCTTTCCAAGTTACAACGCCAACAGATATCATAGATTTCAAGGCTGATTTTGTGCAGCACAGCTAGGGTTCTGCAGCTCTGGATCCACACGAAAATCCATGCAGCCGCACCACCTGCACAGAGAAATGCAGACCCAGTTCTAATGGCACGCCACCCGCCCTGGAAAATGCAACCTCACTGGGAACCGAGGTTCCTGTGCGGGCTGCATCTTCACAAGAAGTGCAGGGATTTCTATGCGTGTCACGGGGCACAGGAGTCCATTCAAATGAATGGGCTCTCATGCCCGCGCAAAACGCAGCCCGCATGGCCACATATATGTGAACCGGGGGTTATAGTTGGTTGCCTGGAGCGTATAGGAAGGTAAGTACATTTTTAAGTGAACATTTTTAAGAATTGGTAGACTTTTGTTCTACTTTAACATGGCACTTTAGTTGGAAAATTAATTCCTACTAGATCACTTCAGGCTGGCCCCCTTTGCAGTTATAACTATGTAAAACATTAAAGTGGTTGTAAAGGCTCAAGATTTTTTACCTTCATACATTTTATGCATGAAGGTAAAAAAACCTTTTCTGTGCAGCAGCATCCCACCCAGCCCCCCAATACTCACCTAAGCCCCCTCTCTATGTGCACTGGAGTCTTGACTATCTCGAGACTCCCTCTCCTCATTGGCTGAGACAGCATTGAATGCCATTGACTCCCACTGCTGTCATTCACAGACAGTGAGCCAATAAGAAGAGAGAGGTGGAGTAGCTGAGCTGCGGCTCCATGTGTGAATGGACACACATACAACAGCTTGGGAACGTGCCTGCTCAGGTGCCCCCATAGCAAGCTGCTTGCTAAAGGGGCACCTGACAGGAGCGAGGGGCCAGGAGCACCGGACAGGAGGTCCTGAGAAGACAAAGATCTGGGCTGCTATGTGCAAAACCACTGCACAGAGCAGGTAAGTATAGACATGTTTGTTATTTTTTTCTTATTTAAGACTTTAGTATCATGCCTATACTGTTTATAATCCATTAATACACTGTCTCACCCTGCTGTGCACATGCTCAGTTGCTCTTTATTTTGAAAAATCAAAGCCACAAGAGGCTGATCTGCTGACTGCCTAAAGATTTACTGCTGCTCAGGAGCACTGGGCTTCAGCAAAATGGCAGCCTCCAGCAAGAAGAAACAGGAGCAATGCTGGAGGCAATTTACAGCACGCACTAATTTTGGTAGCACGATTATTAATGTGGAATGTATGTTCCTTGCTAAAGAACATTTATTTTTATCAAGCTGTTCTGGGTAAAGTTCCACTCTCAGTCACCTCTAAGCTGCCATGCCCATGCTTCCAGACCTTGCACCTGGATAAAAAATCATTTACATTTTTATGTGTACAAAGCACATTCTTCTTCATTTTTTTATTGTACTTATTAGGATAGTAGTTTTATATGTTTCGTTTGTCCTGTGTACATTGACTGAAGCAGACAACAATGACAGGGATTGACAGTTGCAGAGCAATTGGAGATTTAAAAAAAAAAAAAACAACAGCTATCACTCCCTTTAACACCCCGGTGATTAGTCATGCGCAATGATTTTTCCAAGAATAAACAATTCTCTTACACATGGCCAGTGATTATCTTTCTGTCAGGCTATAGAAAGGTAGGTAGTGAGCGGCTTACTCATGCATGTGCTACATGGGAATCATTTCCACCCATGGAAGAAACATAATACTCTTCATAGGAGTCGCAGCTTCTCTGTAATCCATCTCCACAGGGGTCCGTAGAGGGAGGTATGCTCATGTCTTCCGCCCCCAGAAATTACTATTCAGCTGTCATGACCACATGCATCGCTTACTGTCACTGGATTTCAATGTGACAAAAAAAGGCTTGCCTCAAACCCTTTTTTTTTTGGGGGGGGGGGGGGGGGGAGCCAACGCTCGACAATGAATCCCCTGTCACAATCGCAGTTGGATTCACAAAAGCCGAGGGACACTGTCATCCTGCACCTGATTATGCCTTTATGTTGTACAGTGTGAAATATTCCTTATTTTATCTGAATATTTTTTTTTTTTTTTTAAATGGTAAATGACCTTTTTTTTTGGGTGAAGATGTGCTCAACTTTTTATGTGTCATAGTTTTTTTTTTTTTGGCGTGGGATTTTTGGCACTAGAAATTTCAGCACAAAAATAACTTTTATTCTGGAAACGTATAGCAAATGAGAAATGTATGTATCATACCCAAAAATGTCATCCAAAAATTGTGATAGTCATGTACTGACCCTCAACCCCAACATCACCTGTAAACCCATAGCCAGGGCCGGACTGACCATTTGGAAACTCGGGCACTGCCCGAGGGCCCGGGGTCAGTAGGGGGCCCCATGAGATGCCCCTGGTACCTTTTTATAGGCTTTTTTGGGTGTGCTTTGAGTGTGGGCAAAGACACAGGGGCCCCATGATCCCCTATTGCCTGGGGGCCCCATGAGTTGTCAGTCCGCCCCTGGTCAGGACGCCGATGGCTAGAAGGTCATAATGGTGCACAATGAAAACCTGTGGCTTTGTGTAACTAAAAGGCCGGCTTGTTCCACCTGCTGGCTTGTATACATGTTTTGGGCAATTTTTAGACAATTTCCCAAGGCACCCCTGAAGAAACCTCAAGACCAGGGGTGGGACTGACCATTTGGAATCTCGGGCACTGCCCGAGGGCCCGGGGTCAGTAGGGGGCCCCATGAGATGCCCCTGGTACCTTTTTCATAGGCGTTTTTGAGTTTGGGCAAGGACACAGGGGCCCCATGATCCCCTATTGCCCAGGGACCCCATGAGTTGTCAGTCTGCCCCTGCCCATACCTAACCACGATACCTACCCATTACATTTAACCTCCCTGGCGGTATGATTATTTCAGATTTTTGGTGCTGAAAGCGGTACCATTTTTTTGCATGGAAATATGTAGTTTTTTATTGTAGGCTGTAATTCTTAGGAATAACTCACTGAAATCTGTCCAAACAAGAGTCTAGTAAACATCCCGGGTATGATAAAACTTGAAACACGAAATCATAAATAATAATTTAATAAATAATCATAAAAAATAATAATATAATAATAATAAAAATTTTATTCACTAATATAATCAA